ATAATAAACAAGCAAATGACATTAGGTGTCAAAAAATCCATGAGGAACATCTATGGGAAACATCCCTGGCTACACGTCCAGTGACCAGGACTCTCCAGCGTGGGCAGAGCCCGCAAGAGGGGACAGGACAGAGGTCACTCAAATCACAAATGACCTGGATAGAAAATGCTGAGTCACTATTTCCCACAGCTGGAGAACGAAGGAACATCCAGCGAATTCATGAGGCAGCAGGTTTAAAATAAAATAGCACTTTTCCATATCATGCATATCATGTGTGGGGTGAAAAAGAACTGGCTACGTTCACAGAAGATCTGTGGTCTGTGGCTATTAAATGCTTGGTCTCTAAGCTGCAGCCAGCTGGAAGAGTGTGGTCAAGGGAGGGCACACTTCCCCAAGAATCTGTTACTGGCCACCATCAGGGTATTGGGAGCACTGGTCTGACGCTGCGCAGCTGGTCTTAAGAGTCCCACAGGGTGGAAGCAGACTCTTCTTGAGGCAGCTGGTGCAAGTTCTGACCAGACACAAAGTAGGGGCCAAACTGAACACTGGGGTTATCTAAACACCAGTGTTCCTGGAGACTTTGGGGGCTTGCTCACGTGTAGAGATATTTCTGTAACTCTTGCATTTTAAAATAATACCCAATTTTTAGGTGTTGACAAAATCCCAGAAAGCGTCTCCCTCACCTGGGGTATCTCCACGTCGTTGGCTTGCGGGGCCTTGGCGCGGGCTGCACAGGGATTCCACAGCACGTTCCTCCCCTTACCCATCTTGTCCTTTTTCTCCAGGGGCTTCAGGTGTGATGCCAGCACGATGTTCCTGCAGGCAATGAGAAGGGGATGGGATACTTAGCAAGATCAAATACTTTGAAGCTTAAAGCTTCTTCTCCGAGGCAATTTCTGAGTTTGGGCCGTATGTATCATCCAGAGGGACCAGAGGCTGGAGGAGCAGGCCCATGTGAACCTCATGAACTTCAACAAGGCCAAGTGCAGGGTCCTGCACCTGGGCTGGGGCAGTCCTCAACATCAGCACAGGCTGGGGGATGGACGGACGGACGGATGGATGGATGGATGGATGGAGAGCAGCCCTGAGGAGAAGGACTTGGGGATAGTGGCGGATGAAAAGCTGGACATGAGCCGGCAATGTGCGCTCCGGGGGCGCCGCCTCTGCGCTCTCCCCGCTCGGCAGCGTGGCGGCACGGCGGTGACCTCCCCCGGAGCTGGGACGCCTCGCGAGGTGGCTCCTCGAGGCAGAGAGACCCTTTACCAAGGGCAGAGCTTTGGTGAGCGACCGATATCACGCCTAACCTTGCAGCACGGTAACTTTGGGTTTTGTCTTGGTGACTTTGCGCGCTGAACTGGTGCTAATGAACCGCTACATAAACTTTGCACGTACAACCCCTTAGACATAAACCGTTCTCCAAGTCTGAGACTAAGACTGGACCTAGCCACGCCTAAGCTCCTTCAGGAGTTTAGAAAGCAAGGGGGTCTACTCTGAACCTCGTCACTCCACGGGAGGGTCTTCCTCACCCTTTGCACCTCCGGTCTCTCCGTGCATCCCTCTAACTCGAGCGTAACTCGGTTTTCCTTTGTATGGTTCCTCCCGGCAGTCATCGCTAGAGCGAACCCTGCCATCGAGCTCTAAGTCCACTCTTACAGCGTCAAATTGAAACCACAGTTGCTCTCCGCTTTTGGAGAGGGACTTTTTACAAGGGCGCGTGGTGACAGGACAAGGGGGAACGGCTTTAAAGCGAAAGAGGGGGGATTTAGATTGGATCTAAGGAAGAAATTCTGTGCGACGAGGGCGGTGAGGCACAGGTTGCCCGGAGAAGCTCTGGAAGTGTCCAAGGCCAGGTTGGACGGGGCTTTGAGCAACCTGATCCGGTGAGAGAAGTCCCTGGCCCTGGCCATGGTTGGACTGGGTGATCTGTCAAGGTCCCCTCCGACACAAACCATCCTGTGATTCTATCAAACAAGATCAGGATTCATCATGAACCATCAGAGGGGGGTCAGAGGACAAGAGAAGATATTGCATGGGGCACTGGGCAGGCACATCCTCCTCACACCTCAGTGTTAATCCAGTCGTCAGGACCAACACGGCAGGAATTTCCCCATAGGCTGGACTGCTACCGAGCACCGTGGTTCCTCCGCAGCACGGGGAATGGCTCGCTCCCCAGGAGCTGGGCATTTCCAGCCAACGGTTCCTCCAGAGCCAGGACCCAGGAACTGGCACAACTGTTTCCTCCTTCCCTTCTCTTACAATACGCTGCAGTTTCTACGGCTTTGGGACTTCCAGAGGAAAGACCCTAAATTCTTACAGGGCCTAGGGACTGTTCCGTAGCTTGCAGCACGCTGGGCAGGTACATTTTTGCGGATTCATTCGAATTCAGCATCTTATTACGCTGACATCTGCGACTAACTACAGCAGCCCGGACACGGTGGCTCAAGTGGTTCCTTGCATCCCGTGGGATGAATCCCTGCAGTTAGGCCTCCCAATAACGGGCAGGAGATCTTTGAAGGGGTCCAGGTCTCTGCTCCCATGCTAGTGTGGGCTACGCAAGTGAAGACGCTGCACCCACAGAGAGAACCTGCTCCGTTACTTTCCTCAGATTACGTCTACTGTTACCAATACACTGATAAAACAGCTTTAAATCACTCAGAAATCCTTTTACAGGGACCGGCAAGAAGGTCGGGGGAGAAAACACCATTTTCAAGTGTTTTCCTGCCTTGCAGGGATCAGACGGCACGACTGAATGCAGCTGTGAATTTGTGTAAGTCTGCCAAGGGGTGGTCAAAGTCCTGGATCCACCTACAGAGCCGTCTGTGGATGTCAAGGGACAGGGATTTCCCCGGACGGATCTAGAGGTGGATCCGGGACTTTGGTGGGCGTTGGGAGTGCCCTGCGCTGCCTCTGCGGAGCCTCCCTGCCATCCCCGGGACACAACCTGCTCCCGAACCACCTTGGACAAGGTGGCGCCGGGTTTGGGAGCAGGAAGGTGCTGGGTGGGGCGCCCGGGGACAGGTGTCACCCTCTTCTGCGTCGCCACCGTGGCATGGGGCGTGCGGGGGGCAGGGAGGGCAGGGCAGGCTGGCAGGGCTTGGAGGGTGGCTGCTGCGCCCGGGAACGGGGCGAGAGGAGGGGACAGCGAGCCGTCCCACTGCCGGTCTCCAGCTTGGCCACCATGGGGACCTGCCCTGGAGCTGGAACATCTGACATCTTACCCCCACCCCAGCAACCTTTTTTGGGGGCAAATCTTAAAGAAGGCTGAGTTTCTGTCCCAGCGGGGCTCTGTGCCACAGGGCCGTGGCCTTGTCGGGAACGCCGAAGCTGGGGGTGCTGCCCTGTCAAGCCGCGCTGATGGTCACCCGGAGAAGAGCGCACCGACGATCAGTGCGACCGCCTCCGGGAGCGAGGTTTGAGCTGAAAACCCGCCGGCTGACCACCGAAGTTCCAAACGAGCTCCAAAAGGGCTCAAAACCCACCCGTGAGGTCAGGTCGGCCCCGCGGCAGGAGCACCCGGCACCGAGCACTCAGTGACGGCGCTGGCAAAGCCCTTTGGGGTAGGGAAACCCCGAAACCTCCCCGCTGCCCCGGGCGGCCCCCGCCAGACCTGAACTCCTGGTAGGAGGGGAGGCGCTGGCGCAGGGCCCGCAGCTTGGCCTGGTTCTCCCTCTCCCGCCTCTCGTTGGCCCCCACCGCCGGCCGCCCGTCCCCCTCCAGCGCGC